CAGCAGCAGATTTGTTCCTTCAGATGCTGGGGATAGGTAGCGCTCTTTGCTTCCTCTCTGTATTTAGCTACAATTCCAGAGAGTCTGGGTGCTGCTCTTGCTCCATGTGTAACTATTGTATATCTCTGCTGGGTGACTCCATTTGACTTTTTAAAGAGGAATGAGATCGCGTTAAACCAGTTTGGAGATAAGTAACTTGGAAGTGGAAATGCATTGCTTCCATCTGAGTTATAATTGCAGACTCTGACCTGATGAAGACTTTCAAGTTGTCACTGTGCACTCCTACACCCCAACAATTACCTTTCAGATAAAGCCTTCATAACAGGCCCTTGTTTCAAGATAATATTTCAGCTAATTACACCAAATGGGCTATCGGTTCTGAGTTCTGAGGAAGGGTCACCGGACCCGAAACGTTAACTCTGTTTTCTCCTCCACAGATGCTGCCAGACCTGCTGAGCTTTTCCAGCAACTTTGTTTTTGTTCCTGATTTACAGCATCTGCAGTTCTTTTGGTTTTTATCTGTTTTAATATGTTCAATTGGTTCAACAAAAAGCACAGTATAAAAGTTTTTGGATGACAAATATCCTTTCATCAGGTGAACACTAAGCAGAGTTATTGCATATTCATCCTCTACTGAACTGTTCTGTTGTCATGGTTCCCATTTCTGACAGAATATTGAAACCCTTTGAGAACTTGCCATTGTGAAAGCAATTAAATTCATTCAGTTAGATATAGTTCTGAGACATGATAATATAAATCTAAATCCTTTGTTTTCAGGTTTTACATGTTGGTGATATGATTGTTGCTGGCAATGTATACCCCTAGTAGTCATCGAGATGTCAATGGTGTAAAGAGATTTGTTTAAATCTTAGCAGTCCATATGGCATCTTTATATGATGCCCTTTTATTCATTAATACTAATGATTGCTAAATTAACAGCAGATGGACAAGTGAATACTTAAATTTTGCCTGGTTCTCCAACTTGAGTAACATGGAAATGATATGCACAAATGCCGATCTTTTCAAGACTGTTGTACCCTACCCATGGTGCACACATAGAAATTTGATCAAATTTGATTAAATTATCAAAAGATTGCAAACACAGAATTCTCTGTAACTCAATGTACCAGTGATTAAGTTAAGGTCTTGGACATAGGATTAGCATTTCTGATGATTGTGTAGCGTGTTTTAACTTGGTTGTTTTGACTATTGACAAACATCTGAAAATATTGAACTATTGGATTAGAGATGTTTGATTTATAAGAGAACATCAGTAATTTCATTGTATAAATAGGACTTAACGATCAGCATGGCATCTATGTGTGGAGCCACTGGAGATGGGGGAAATTTTTAACGAATATTTCTCCTCAGTGTTTACTGAGGAGAGAATCATAGATGCGAAGGAAATAAGGGGTTACCAGAGAGGAGGTGTTTGCAGCCTGAAAGCGCATTAAGGTAGATAAATCCCCCGGGCCTGATCAAGTCCATCCTCGGACGTTGCGGGAGGCTAGGGAAGAAATTGCAGAGGCACTTGCAGAGATTTTTGCTTTATCTTTAGCCACTGGTGAAGTTCCGGAAGACTGGAGAGTGGCTAATGTTGTTCCATTGTTTAAGAAAGGTAGCAAAGACAAGCCAGGGAACTACAGGCCAGTGAGCCTGACATCAGTGACAGGCAAGTTATTGGAGAGGATATTGAGGGACAGGATCAACCAACATTTGGATAGTCAAGGCCTGATTAGAGATAGTCAGCATAGATTTGTGTGTGAGAAATCATGTCTGACAAATCTTTTAGAGTTTTTCGAAGAGGTAATCAAGAGGATAGATGAGGGTAGGGCAGAGGATGTTGTCTATATGGACTTGAGTAAGGCCGCATGACAGGCTAGTCATGAAAGTTTGGTCACATGGGATCCAGGGAGAGCTAGCTAATTGGATTCAAAATTGGCTCGATGGTAGGAAGCAGAGGGTGATAGTTGAAGATTGTTTCTTGGACTGGAGGCCTGTGACTAGTGGTGTGCCACAGGGTTCGGCACTGGGACCTTTGTTATTTGTTATTTATATAAATGATCTAGATGTGAATGTACAAGGCACGTTTAGTAAGTTTGTGGATGATACAAACTTTGGAGGTAACGCTAATAGTGAGGAAGGTTATCAAGAGGGATCTTGATCAGATGGGGAAGTGGGCTGAGGATTGGCAAATGCAATTCAATACGATAAGAGTGAGGTGTTACATGTTGGAAAGTCAAGCCAAGGTAGGACATATATAGTAAATGATAAGATCCTGAGGAGTGTTGTGGAACAGAGAGATCTGGAGGTACAAATACATGGTTTATTGAAGGTGGTGTCACAGGTGGACAGTGTGCTGAAGAAGGCATTTAGCATGCTGGCCTTCATTGGTTAAGGCATTGAGTATAAGAGTTGAGATGTTATGTCACAGTTGTATAAGTTGTTGGTGAGGCCGCACTTGAAGTATTGTGTACAATTTTGGTCACCTTGTAATAAGAAAGAAACAGTTAAACTGGAAAGTGCGCAAAGAAGATTTATGAGGATGTTGCCAGAACTAGTAGGCCTGAGTTATAGGGAAGAGGTTGGCCAGGATAGGACTTTATTCCTTGGTCAGAAATCTCATTACACCAGGTTATAGTCCAACAGGTTTATTTGTAAACACAAGCTTTCGGAGTCTTAATCCTTCTTCAGGTGTCAGTAAGAAAGGTTTTATCAGACACAGAATTTATAAGCAAAAGATCAAAGGGTCACACCACTGCTGAGAATGTACTAAACAAACCTAAGATGCTGATAAATCTTTAATCAGTTAGAAGGTTTAAATTGATTAATATGTATACGTAAATCCCCAAATTCCTTTGAAGTCACTGTCCTGAGAGAACTAAAGGTTTTATCAGTGTAAAGAAGAGGTGACATTTTAGGTCAGACAATGCATGTTAGGTGTGCGATCTTATTTAGAATCTGTTTGTGTTTTGGGTTGGAGTCAGACTGGTTGTATTTCTAAAGTAGGAATTTATAAAACGCCACACTGTCTATAAGTTGTATGTGAGGGGTGATCTTATTGAGCTGTGTAAAATCTTGGGCATAGATAGAATAAATGCATATAGTCTTTTCCCAGGGATGGGGAATTGAAAAATAGAAAGTATAGGTTTAAGATGAGAGGGGAAAGATTTAAGAAGGACCTGAGGGGCAACTTCTTCATGCAGGGAGTGGTGCATAGAGATTAGGACCCGAAAGCACAGCCTTAGAATAAAGGGAAACCCTTTTAGAAAGGAGATAAGGAGAACTGTCTTCAGCCATAGAGTACTGAATCTATGCAATTCACTGCCACGGAAGGCTGTGGAGGCCAGGTCATTGAGTATATTTAAGACTGAGATAGATAGGTTCTTGATTGTCAACGGGATCAAGGATTACAAGCAGAAAGCGGGAGAATGGGGTTGAGAAATTTATCAGCCATGATTGAAGGGCGGAGCAGACTCGATGGGCCGAATGGCCTAATTTCTGCTGCTATGTCTTACATATGGAATGGGCTGCCAGAGAAAGTGGTTGAAGCAGGTACAATTGTAACATTTAAAACACATTTGGATAGATACATGGATGGGAAGGGTTTAGAGGGATATAGGCCAAATGCGGGCAGTTGGAATTAACTGAGCGGGCACCAAGGTCAGCATGGACCAATTTGGGCTGAGGGGCCTGTTTCCATGCTGTATTACTCTATGACTCTATGACCCTATGACTTTAGGTCTTCCCACTCAATACCTCTAGTGAATATGTCAATATAGACGATAGCACCCAATATATCAACCTGGAATAACCAGGTGTAGAGCTGGATGAACACAGCAGGCCAAGCAGCATCATAGGAGCAGGAAGGCTGACATTTTGGGCCTAGACCCTTCATCAAACCCTTCATTTTTCTGATGAAGGGTCTAGGCCGGAAACGTCAGCCTTCCTGCTCCTATGATGCTCTACACCTTGTTATCTCAGATTCTCCAGCATCTGCAGTTCCTACTATCTCTGATATCAACCTGGATCCCGGATGTTCTTAGAATAAGCATTTAATCTTTCTTGACTCTAAGTTCACTTTGACTACAACTTTAGCATCTGATTTTCAAAGGTTATTTACTATTTCATGATACCATTGCGAGCAGTGCTCCCTGATATTAAGTCAATTGTCTTCATTTAGCATTTTCTTATCACTGACTGGTCGATATATGTAAAGAAAGCAGAATAATGTACGAAAGGAATAATATTGTGTTCAGTTTGAAGATACTGGCTGTTATTCAACCATGATAGGAAATCCATCTAGGAATGCCATGTTCATGCCATGACGTTGTGGGCTTTGACTGTCATTCCATTTTATTTACAGTAATTATGAATTTACCAATTGATTTTTCTCTGCATGCGTTTCCCTGTTCAAAGAACAGCATTCCTTTATCTGAATACACAACTGAATGGCACTGGCTATTTCTGTGCCTGCTAACCTGTGTATTTTTGGTAATCATTCACTTCAATGGGAGGATATATGGGTGAATGATTACAGACATGGAAAATCATTGTGTGAGAAACATTATTATGTTGCATCAATCGGAAATCAACATAATTGAAATTGTGGTTACTTCTTTGGTCCTTCTATTCATCAACAAACAACAAATTTACCACACATTTGTTCATGAAAGGCAATAAATTAAAACAAACTGCCAACAACACTGGAAAGTTCAGATGCATTTTCTGTTTTAATGTACATTATTCGTATAAGTACTTGTGAATTATTCAAAGCATGACAAACATTTGAAATAAATTTGAAACATTCATTATTATTGATGAGACTTTTGTTTGACTTCATATAAAAGCTTGGTCCATCACTCTATAGTAAAGCACATGTACTAAATTATTTAAGATACTTTTCAAACAATTGAATGTTAACAGTTGTTGGAAATAACTTCATTGTTTTCCAATGATACAATTCTTGTTAATGTGTGGAGTTTCGGCCAGCATCAAACAGTGGGGTTCACTACCCTTCCTGCAAACAGGACACTCTTAACAGTGTGGTCAGCAATTAATAGGAAGAAAGGCCTGTTAAATACAAACACAGAAGGAACAGAAAATGGCAGTACTTCAATTCCTGTAATAGCTGTGGCTTTTGTTCCTGTTTCATCAATATCCAGCACTGCCTCATGAGTCACCTACAATAACAAGGAACCACATCAGGTTAATAGAAACAGCATTAGACATAATCCTTTTAGTTCAGCAACTAAAACATCCAGATGTTTGAATACATGGGTTTAATCTTAATTTTTTTTGGCTAAGTGTCAGTTTTGTCAATTTTCATGTAGGGTTTCTCTCTGCAAGACATAGAGAAATGTCTCATCATATCTTACCAGCCCACCTCATTAACTACCTACAATATGGCCTGGTTCTGGTCCCATTCTCCCACTGACTGTACCCTGAACAACTTGCCACTGCCAGGATGTCCTGGAAATGGACCATCATCCCAGGTGCTGGTGCCATCCGTAAAAGTCCATTGTGCAACTAGAAAAGCATTGTCAGTCTAGAGCTGGTCAGAAGTCACATGAAGCCAGGTTATAGGCCAACAGGTTTATTTGAAATCTCAAGCTTTCAGAGCGTTGCTCTTTTGTCAAAAGGCAAAGCACGGCAGAGATGTTGTGAACATCCAGGTGGGTTCAAAGTGAGTGAGCACTATGACAGAGAAACAGGCCAGAGATGCATTCTGGGCCAGTCCATAAGCTGGGTGCATGTCCCTAGGTGTCCTTGATGCAACATTACAAATGATAGTTGCTGTTGTGCCCAGAGATGCTGCAAATGAAGTGCAGAAGTATCAAATAAGTGAGTCAGAGATGTTCCCTATGGGTCCTTAGAGGTTGACACATGTTAGCTGTCAATGTTTGTGGATGCTGAGTGAATGTGGCCACTACAAATGGAGCATGACTTGAGATATTGGTGTCTGGTGTCCAGTATGAAGGGCTATTAGAGCAGATGCAAATATGTCAGACCACGCTCCATTCGTACTTTCATCTCTTCCAATGATAATCATTCATCTGTTCTGTGTACCTTCAACATCCAGATCATTCCAATAATATGGCCAGTGTTTCTATCATCTGTTAGCCTGCAATAAACAAATTGTTGACTTATCAATGCTTTACCTTAGATACTTTTAGAGGTGCAGTTTCAGATATTCCAGAAAGGTTTGAGTTTTCTGTGAATACATCCACAATACCCATAGACTTCAGCAAGTCTTTGAGCTGGTAGGATTCCTTCAGTAATAACTTTGGAAGATGCAGAGATGTAGACCTATGACACACAGAGAGATATTGTTGAATCATTGATTTCTTGCTTCAAATTAAATTTGTCATTTTAATTTTAATTTTGTCAACACATAAATAGAAAACAATAATTTAACTTAAAATGGTAAATTTGGTCTATTATATATGGATATGTTCTCTTCATAAATTAATAAGATAACTGAAATTGTGCATAGAAACTTTAAAATGATCAATAGATGTGAGTCAGTCTTGGCTATTGTAATTGGTCTTTTGATTGTCCTTCTCAGATTACTTTGATTTACTAAACAAAATATGCTCTATAGGAATCAGTGAGGCTTATTCTAGAAAGACTTGAGGAGCAAATGTTTTACACAGAAGGTTGGTTCGTGTTTGGAATGAACTTCCTGAGGAAGTGGTGAATGTGGGTACAATTACAGCATTTAAAGGACATTTGGATAAGTACATGGATCGGAAAGATTTGGAGAAATATGGGCCAGGAGCAGCTGGATAGGACTAGTTTAGTTTGGAATTATATTCGGCATGGACTGGCTTGATCGAAGGGTCTGTTTCCATGCTGCATGACACTAAGAGGCATATTCAATGCCCAAATATTAGGTTTTGGAACAAATGTGAACAGTGAGATGTATTTTGGAGAGTCTCTATAAATTGTTATGAAATTAGTATCAGAATGAGAGACAGATTCATGATGCAGAGGAGAATAATAACATGCTGTCAAATGATTCGTCAGCGATCACTCACTAACGAGTATTATTGTCCATCATTCTCTAACAAATATTATTGTCCGTTGAGGAAATTTTGTGTCACTGGTCATGGATTCTGTCAAAGGAATTAAGTCCTTTAAGAATACACTAATTCCCGAGAAATGGCTGTCACTGGCAAAGCCAATGTTTATTCCTGCTTTTTTTTGTCTATTCCCTGATGGCATTGAGAATGCGCTCTTCTTGAACTCTCCATTGCTATCTCTGTGGCAAAAATGCTTTTAGAATGCTGTTAGGTACAGACTTACATCATTTTGACCAGCAACAATTAAAGAACTGCACTGTACATCTGTGTGGTTTGGACAAGAACTTGGAGATGATGCTGTTCCCGTGCATTTTCTGCCCTTACTTTTCTAGGTGTGCAGTTAGTGAGTTTGGAAGATGTTGCCCAATGAAGTTTTGGCAAGTTGCTGCTTTCATGCTACAGAAAGTGCACAATGAGGCCAGGATGGAGGAGGTTTAGGCTAGTGGATGAGGTGATTGGGAGCACTAGGCTACACAATCTAAAGGAAGCTGATAACTTGATTTGCTGCAAGATTGGAATTTTTTTTTGTTTCTTTTTAAAAGAAAATGAATGACAAACACCACTGCATTGCTAGAAAAAAATGAATTTAACAATTTCACTGAACATACCTAGGCCACAACGAATGAAAAAATTTTTGGAAATTGCTAATGGTCAGAGTTTGTTCAACTTCTGCCAATTTTCCTGGGGCTGGTAGAATCAGCACCAAGGATGCATTTCCAATATATGGAACCCTAACCACATGACTGGAAAGTTGCTGATCATAACCAGAGTGGTATAACCCCCTCCTCTGCATCATTTGAACTTTCACTGTTGTTGTGTTATCCACATGGAAGTCAGCTTCGTAAGTTGCTTTGGGATCAAAAGGTTTCATCCAACTACCTATAAGAAACAGTTAGAGGTCATTAGACTTCTAATTCATCTGAACGTACACCATATCATTTCTCCCTTTCATCAATGTTAATAAAAGATTTTTACTCTGCGCTGTATAAAAATCAATATTATGTTTAATGCATTCATATTAACTTAATTGTCACAATCATTTTAATGCACCTAAAGACAACAAGAACGTTAGGAAATGAATGCCAACACATTAATTAGTGTGCTAAAAATAATTTGCAATGAGCCTTAAACCTCAGTCAGGGCAAATGTATTGACATGGATTTTGCTGCAACATCACAAAAAAAGGAAATGCCTAAAAATTAATCACAGGCAATTGAGGAATCTAAGATGGAAATGATAATCCCTGCAGTGTGGAAACAGGCCATTCAGCCCAACTAGTCCACACTGCCCCTCTGAAGAGCATCCCACCCCAACTCCTTCATTTCCCCATGTCTAACCCACCTAACCTAAACATCCCTGGACACAATGGGTAATTTAGCATGGCCAATCCACCTACCCTGCACATCTTTGGACTGTGGGAGAAAACCCATGCAGACACGGGGAGAACGTACAAACTGCACACAGACAGTCGCCCGAGGGTGGAATCGAACCCTGGTGCTGTGAGGCAGCAGAGCTAACCATTGAGCCACTGTGTCACCCTTTTGTGGAAATCACCATTTAAATAAAAAATACTTATATCGAAGCAGGTTTTCCCATTTGAACATATGTGATATCGGGAGATGCAGCGCCAACCCAAGATTTTGAGCCCCAAAACATAAATACCAAATAAACCAAACACAGAATCCCTACAGTGTGGAAACAGGCCAATTGGCCCAACAAGTCCATACGATCCTTCCGAAGAGCATCCTACCCAGACCCATTCCCCTACCTTTTTCCTCCTGTAACCCTGTATTTTCCATGGCTAATCCACCTAATTTACACACCCCTGGGTACTGCAGGCAATTTAGCATGGCCAATCCACCTAACCTGCACATCTTTGGACTGTGGGAGGAAACCAGAGCACCTGGAGGAAATCCACGCAGACACGGGGAGAACATGCAAACTCCACACAGACAGTCACCTGAGGGTGGAATCAAACTCAGGTCCCTGGCAGTGTGAGGCAGCAATGCTAATCACTGAGCCACCGTAATAAATCGCCATTCCTAGTAACGTAGCCAAAAACCAAAGGAAACAGATTCTATTTTTCCTAATTGCTCCATAATAAAGAAAAACAATCATCCTCAAGATATCGCTGGCATATTTTTGAGATAATATCTATGATGTTCACTTTTTCATCCCTTAAAATTACCAGCTTGCCTTAAAATGTTACTTCCTGAGTCTGTGAAATGCAATTTGTCTCTCTAGCTCTTTAAGAGCTTTTTGAGAGCATTAAATTCCAATGACTTACATATCATTTTACCAACTCGAAAAATGCCTCATATTTTCTTCAAAATCAACTCAACTTTTTAAATCGATAAAACCTAGGAAAATAGTAATGAGAGTTGAGGGGTCATAGTGTCATAGAGTAATACAGCATGGAAACAGGGCCCTTTGGCCCAAACTGGTCCCTGCTGACCATGGTGCCCACTCAGCTAGTTCCAATTGCCCGCATTTGGTCCATATCCTTCTAAGCCCTTCGCATCCATCTATCTATCCAAATTTGTCTTAAATGTTGCTGTCAAGTGCCTCAACCACTTTCTCTGGCAGCCCATTCCATTTACGCAACATTCTGCGTGAAGCAGTTGCTCCTTAGGTCCTTCTTAAATCTATCCCCTCTCACCTTAAACCTATGCCCTCTAGTTTTCAATTTCCCATCCCTGGGCAAAAAAACAATATGCATTCATCCTATCTATGCCCCTCATGATTTTATACACCTCAACAAGGTTACCCCTCACTGTCCTATGTTCCAAGGAATACAGTCCTGTCCTGGCCAACCTCTCCCTATAACTCAGGCCTACTAGTCCTGGCAACATTCTCGTAAATCTTCTTTGCACACTTTCTAGTTTAACTATGTCTTTCCTATAACAAGGTGACCAAAACTGTACACAATACTCCAAGTGTGGCCTCAACAACGATTTATACAACTGTAACACTATATCCCAACTCCTACACTCAATGCCTCGAACAATGAAGGCCAGCATTCTGAATGCCTTCTTCACCATCCTGTCCACCTGTGACGGAAAACAAGCGGGGATGGTTTGAACCACATAGACATTAACAGAGAGGTGGCGTTTGCAGCCTTAAAGTACATTAAGGTGGATAAATCCTCTGGACCTGATGAAGTCCATCTTAGATGTTGTGGGATGCTAGGGAAGAAATTGCAGAGGCCCTTGGAAAGATTTTTGCTTCACCTTTAGCCACTGGTGAAGTTCCGGAAGACTGGAAGGTAGCTAACATTATTCCATTGTTTAAGAAAGGTAGCAAAGACAAGCCAGGGAACTACAGGCCAGTGAGCCTGACATGTATGGCAAGTTCTTGAAAAGAATACCGAGGGACAGGATCAACCTACAATTGGATAGTCAAGGTCTGATTATGGATAGTGTCAGCATGGATTTGTGCGCAGGAAGTCATGTCTGACAAATCAACAAGAGTTTTTCAAAGAGGTAACCAAGAGGATAGATGAGGGTAGGGCAGTGGATGTTGTTTGTATGGACTTTAACAGGGCCTTTGACAAGGTCCCATATGGTAGGCTAGTCATGAAAGTTAGATCGTGTGGGATCCAGGGAGAGCTAGCTAATTGGATTCAAACTTGGCTGGATGGTAGGAAGCAGAGGGTGGTGGTTGAAGGTTGTTTCTCGGACTGGAGGCCTATGATTAGTGGTGTGCCACAGGGGTCAGTGCTGGGACCTTTGTTATTTGTTATTTACATACATGATCTGGACATGAATGTGCAAGGCTTGTTCAGTAAGTTTGCGGATGATACAAAATTAGCCGGTATCGTTGATAATGAAGAAGATTACCAAAAATTACAGAAGGATCTTGATCAGATGGGGTAGTGGGCTAAGGATTGGCAAATGCAATTCAATACAGATAAGTGTGAGGTGTTGCATTTGGGAAAGTCAGAACAAGGTAGGATTTGTACAGTAAATGGTAAGGTTCTAAGGAGTGTTGTGAAACAGAGGGACCCAGGAGTACAAATAGGTTAACTCAGCCAGAAATGAGGAAATAGCATTAAGTAACATAGTTGAAAGGTCATTAATAAAGCATTTTCCCTGTTTTGCCCCACCTTTCTCCCTTTCACTTGTTTTAAATATTCCTGTGGAACGTAACCAACCCGAAGCATTAACTTGGTTTTTCTGTCAATAAATGTGACCAGACCTGCTGAGTAATTCCTGTATTTCCAGATTTATTTTTACCAAAGCATCAGTCATTCAGATTAAAATAAATAAATAGAAGCAATAATTGGTTCAATGGGCTTGAACATCTTCCCATCAGTAACACATGGGCTTGTACCTACCTGAGGTTGGTGAAATGAAAGGTTGACTTACTTTTTACGTAGAATTAACATAAGAGATATCAACATGTCTCAAAATTGGGAGCTTACAAGAATTGCAATTTCAGTCCAAAAAGCTAACAGAATGAGGAATATTATCTCTTCTCGCATTTGTGGTGAAGCTAAGTTCAGATTGCTCCAGGAATGCACTTCTTGCGCAAACTGAATTCTAATGTGGATCCATTAGTCAATTTCAGTGAGCTTGCATCTTTTTACAATATTTCAAAATGAACTGCTCCTAAAACAACCATTCTCTACCATTTTGAGTGAAGCTGTCATTGACTATTAAGTAGCACTGAATGATGGGCAGATTTGTGTGTAGGCATACCACTTCCAAGAATGAAATCAATTAATTTGACTTTGGATTTTTGTACTCAAGGAACAGATGACACTTGTATGGCTACTCCTGATAATCAATGTTTAAGCATTCTAAAGATATTGAATAATCAAGGGACAAAAGAGGGTAAAAAAATAAATTCAATAATTCAGAGAAAAAGTATATGTGATACTAATGAGGTTAAAGGCCAATAATTCCCATGACCTGATGGGTTGTATCGTAGAATATTAAAGGAGGTAACAGAGAGGGTGTATGCACGGATCATAATTTCCCAAAATCTTTAATTCTGGGAAGTCCCAGCAGATTGGAAAGCTGTCAAAGTAAAAAGGGAGATAAACAAAAAAGAAAACAGGTAACTATAGGCCAGTTAGCATAGCATCTGTCATTGGGAAAATGTTAGACTCTATTTTGAAGGATGCAATAACAGCACAATTTGGAGATGCAAAATATCATCAAGTAGAGTCAGTATTGTTCCATGAAGAGGAAATCAACCTGACAAATGTATTAGAATTCTTCGCGGAGGTAACAACTGGCATAGATAAAAGGGAACCACTAAATGCAATATATTTGGATTTCCAAAATGTGTTTGAAAAGGTGCAGTGCATAAAGCCATGTAATAAGCTAAGAGCCTTTGATACCGAGGGCTGTGTGCATGTTCAGAGAATTGGCTATCTAGTACAGGACAGAGAGTTTGGATAAGGGGAATGGGTGGAATTTTTAGGATTGAAACCTGTAACTGATGGAGTGCCACATAGATCAGAGCTGGACCCATAATTATTTATGATATATATTAATGACTTGCATGAGGAAAGTGAATGTACTGTGGTCAAGACTACAGATGACAAAAAAAAAGGTAGGAAGGCAATTGATGAGGATGACACAAAGTGTCTGCGGAAGAACATAGATAGTTTCAGTGAGTGAGTAAACAATTGGCAGTAGAATATACCATGGGAAAATGAAGTTTTGCACTTTGGCAGGAACAATAGAGAAGCTGAATACTATTTAAATGGGGAAAGACTACAGAAAGATGCAGTACAAAGAGATTTAGGGATCCTCATGCATAAATCTCAAAAGGTGAGGATTCAGGTTCAGAGGGTAATAGGGAAGACAAATGGAATGTTGGCCTTTAGTTTAAAGAGAATGGAGCATAAAAATATAGCAATCTTGCTGAAACTATACAAGGCACTAGTTCGACAATCGCTGGAATACTGTAAACAGTTTTTGTCTCCAATGGAAAGATACAATGGCATTGGAGGCAATGCAGAAAATATTCACTAGCTTGGTCCAAGGCATTGAGAGATTTCTTATGAGGACAGCGCCACACAGATCAGAGCTGCACTCCGTCGATCTTAGAAGAATGGGTGATGATCTTATTGATCATATATGATCCTTAAGGGGTTTGACAGGGTAGATGTGGAGAGGAGGTTTCCCCTTGTGGGAGAATCAAGGACAAGAGGGCATAGTTTCAGAATACTCAATCAAATTAATTTCTTCTTTGCAAAAATTTCATTTTTTTTTTGTACTGTCAATTGCCAAATATGTCTGCATTAATTGAACAAATATTGCATATTTTATCTGTGTCACCCTTATTTCCTGCATCATCTCTTGTTCTGCTGCAATATTTCCATCGTGCCTTGGTATAAATATATAATGGAACAAACATACTTACCGTTAATTTATTGATTTCGGTTCTGATCCTATTGTTCTCTGCACTTCCCTTCCTCTAGGTTACTTGGCCTCCATATTCTGCTAGAATGTGATCCTAGACTGATCCCTCCCCTAATGTTGGGGAAATATCCTACAATCACTTTCCCAAAAAAGAGCAGATTAGCTGGCCAACTAAATGTCGTTTGTAGTGTCTTCCTATTTGCAAACTGGACAAATAGTTGGGTAAAGAAACAGCAGCACTAGAGAAGGAAACAGAAGATGGGAGATCAAGGAGAGGAGCAGAACGTAAGTGAAGGAGATCAAACAGAAAGTAGGAGATGGAGATAAGGAGAAAGAATAACAAAATGTAGAGAGTGATGCAACATAAAGATGGCAATTAAAAGAAAGTATTCTTCAACTTATATAATAAAGAGAGATTTGCTGATATGAAGCAAGAGTTTCATCCTGTAGACAAGTAAGCCAGCTTTGATGGAAAAGTAATTAATTTGCTGTGGATCAATCTTTTAGGTACCTAAATGAAATAAGTAGATTGCTTTGCCAATTAACATTGCAAAGCTCCTTTATAGTCATAGTCATAGTCATAGCGTCATACAGCATGGAAACAGACCCTTCAGTCCAACCAGTCCATGCCTACCATAATCCCAAATGAAACTAGTCCCACCTCCCTGCACTTGGCCCATATCTGTCCAAACATTTCTTATTCATGTACTTATCCAAATGTCTCTTAAACCTTGTAATTGTACCTGTCACTTTGTCTGGCAGTTCATTCCACACAGGAGCCATGCAGTGTAAAAAAGTTGCCCAAACTTTCCTGTACAATACCAATTCTCAAATTACTGCATTCTCATACCAATCATCTGTCCCAAAATAAGTAATTCAGAAATTTTTCTACTCAAGATCTGGTTGCTGTATGCCTATTTTAGGTTCAAATGTTCTAGGGCATGTGTATAATTTATAAAAAACATTTTACCTTTGAACAAGACATAATTGAGAAGCATCATCACAGTTGATGGATCAAGGGTTTTAACGAAATCTTGAATTTCACCAGATGTTTTCTTGTTTATGTAAGTATTGATCTGTCCTTTTGCAATCTCTGGATCTTTGAAATTAACACTCCTTACCTCTGTCTTATAAAACTGCTTTGCATTCTCAAGGAATTTCTGTTTAACAACAAATTCCTGCTGGATGTGCAAAGAATTACCCATTGTTAAATGCAGTTCACTATTTTCTCTGGTTAGCTTTTGCAGGAGGTATTTGTATGCTTCATGCACTTCCACTGCATCATTTTGGGACATATTCCTGTGCCCAAGAACCTGTAGAAGCTGATTGCATGTGTTATCTCTTGCACCCAAAGATAGCATGCTAAGTGCTGCAGAGACACTAATAGGAGAGAAGAAAATATTCTTGGAAATTGAGCGTGGCTGAGAGGCAATCTGTCTGTAGAGACGTAAGGCAAAATCTATATTTGCAGCTGAAAGTCTGAGCACAGACAATTGTGATACTGGATTGTTTTCATTTGGTACGGCAGATTCTTCAGCAAGACTGACTACTCCACTGTCAAACACAGTGACTAGGAGCAAAGCAACTGGGATCAGCTTCTCCATCTTTAGCCTGCAAAACAAAGAACAAATTGTATTGTAATACTTTGAGATGGTTCAAATACTGACCAACCTTCATCAGACTCAGATTCTGAACAAGCTTAGTTATGATTACTTAATACATCCCTTAAGCTAAGTGCTGCAGAGATTTGAATGTTGCCAATTTAACTTCTAAACTAAATCTAATAACTTCTTACTTAAACTACAATAACTTCAGAATCCTACCTAAAGTGAAACAGGCTGTTCGTACTGCACCTTTCTCCTTGCTCATATGTGTTCCTTTGTGTTAAATGTCAACTTATACTGTAGCAAGTGCAAACAGTTCAGTTACAAATTAATCAGTAAACTGACCTTCAGTCTGGCAGTTATCATTGCTATACAATTATATTTGCATTGTAAATACATTTCTTACAACTTTGCAGCTAAATACCACACAAAAGTTTTTTAAACTTTAGGTTCATGCATTACATTTTACATAGAAACAGCTTTTTCCTATTTTTTCCCGTCTTTGTTATTCACTGACTTCCCCAGACTCTGATGTTTTGAATAAATTGTGCATCACTTATTGCTGGATAATGTTAAAGTTATATTATTAACTCCCTTTTTTCAAACACGTCAATAGTTGTTAATAAACATGCAGTCCTCTAATTGCAATTCATGATAAATACTGCACACAACTCCAAAGTTAATCTTTTATTGAATTATGAACAATGGGGCTTAAAATAAGCAGACTGTCATTTAAATAAAATCTCATTGTTGCTTAATAGAGAAAGGTTACATTTATTAAGACTGGATGTATTTAAATGTAACTCATAATTAAACATTTAAAGTTACAAGTCAGGGAGTATAAAACTCATACAATCTTAAAATTTTGCAGCACAGAAGTTTCATTTGGACCATCTTTAGTGCTCCAGTTCTCTAAAAGATTGGATCATTTCGTTTCATTCCTGTGCCCTTTGCTTATGTACATTCAATTATTCATATGTATTTATCCAATTCCCTGTTTACCAGTTATGATGTATTCTGCCCCCAACAAAGGATGGGGCATACCATGTCATAACAACCCTCTGCATAAAACTGTTTCCCCTGACTTGTATATTGCTCTCCCATGCTCTAATTATTGGCTTATTGATTAACATGTGGACTGAGTACAGCAGATACCTCAAGGTGGACCACAGGGTTTGTTACCATGCTGTAAAGCTCTATGACTCTATAAGCTTGACCACAATTTTGGAACTGTTATGCAAGGCAACTAAAACTAACAAGAGTTTAAAAGAAGAAGTAGTTGCTTTAAGTAATGCCTTTCGTGTTCTAAAAATGTCCCAAACTGCTTTACAGACATTAAATTACATCTTGGAGTATAGTCAGTCATAGAGTTATAGATATCTACAGCACAGAAGAAGGCCCTTCCACTCATTGAGTTTGCCCCGGTCAAAAATAACCAACTAACGATTCTAATCTCATTTTCCACCACTTGGCCCATAGCCTTGTATGCCTTGGCATTACAAGTGCACATCTAAATGCTTCGTAAATGTTGTGGGTTTCTGCCTCTTGCACTCTTATAGGCAGTGAGTTCCAAATTCTCACCACCTTCTGGGTGAAAAGAAATGTCCTCAAATCCCCTCTAAACATCCTGCCCCTTACCTTAAGTCAATGCCTCTTGGTCATTGACCCCTCCACAAAAGGGAAAAGTTTCTTCATGTCCACCCTATCTATGCTCCTCATAATTTTATACACCCGAAGTGCACGCCACCTCAGTTTCTTATGCTCCAAGGAAAACAATCCCACTCGCTCCAGTCTTTCTTCATCATTAAACTTCTCCAGCCCGAGCAACATCCTGGTGAATATCTGCATCCTCTCCAGTGCAATTGCAATCCTCCTATAATGTGTATTCCACAACTGCAAACAATACGCTAGCTGTGGCCTATCCAATATTTTATATAGTTCCAACTTCATCTCCCTGCTCTTAAACTCTATGTCTTGGCTAACAAAGGCATATCATACCACTTTGTCTATCTCCCCCTCTTACCTTAAGGATTTGGTGAATGTGTACACCAAGGTCCCTCTGATCTTCAGTGCTTCCAAGGATCCTACTGTTCATCATGTATTCCTTTGCCTTGTTTGTCCTAATTCTTCTAAACATTTTTGGGTGATATGGTGGCTCAGTGCTTAGCACTGCTGCCTCATAGCACCAGGGACCTGTTTTCGATTCTACCCTCGGGTGACTGTCTGTGTGGAGTTTGCACATTCTCCCCGTGCCTGCGTGGGTTTCCTCCGGGTGCTCGGGTTTCCTCTCACAGTCCAAAGATGTGTAGGTTAGGTAGATTGGCCATGCTAAATTGCTCATAGCATCCAGGGATATGCGGGCTGGATTAACCATGGGAAATGCAGGGTTACAGGGTAGAGGGATGGGTCTGGGTAGGATACACCTCAGAGGGTTGGTGTGGACTTGATGGGCTGGATGGCTTGCTTCCCTGCTGTAGGGATTCTATGAGTTCAAAGCTTGTAGATTCTCTTAAAGACTTCAGAAAATGTTTCAGTATAACCATCCTGGGATTATGGAGGATTCTTGCATTTTTGCTTCTTCCTGAGAGAATTCTCACCATTTGAACAAAATGGAGGGTTTCAGTCCTTTCCCCTTCTTCCTGGGATTACTTGCATCTTGTCCCTCTGACAAAATCCATGTTCACACTCTTTCCATAATTAAAATATATTCTGATCTTTAAGTGTTTTTTTTTCTCAACTTTGAAACATATTAGTGGTCTTAAATCTTCTTCTACAGTAGAGTTATGATGCTTAAATTTGTTTCAAGTGTTCCCAACGTTGACATAAATTAAATTTATGGCCCTATTTCAACTTTTCAGCTGATCCATTTGCAGCTCCAGCAATGTACGAGTTATACAGGTAAGTGCTCCTATTTCAATTTACTAGCCTTGTGGCCTGGTTTTTGTACTGTCCAAGTATGTTTCTCGACCTTTTGCTGTTAGAGATTTAACTTACTGCAGGAGTGCCCACTGCCCGTTTGCTGTCCTATCGAAACTGGACTCTGATCTGATTCCTTCTACCCAAGTGTTCTGGCCTACACTGGTTTCTCTGTACATTATGGCAGGTTCAGCTGCCCTTTAACATCAGAGACCAGCTACTAAGTGTTATAGCACACAAGCCTATACTGAGGTATGCTGAGATAGTGGTGAAATAGCCAATTCAGCAGTTAATTTGTGCAAAGCAAGTATAATATCCCCTTACTCATTTTTGAAACAGTGGCAAGGGATGTATCATGTCCACATGAGTGGCAGATTTATTATGGTATCATGGTATTATGGTATCCTAGAATTGACAACATCAATAGTGAAGCATTCCCTCAGTACTGCCACGACCAGCTACCTCTTGAATATATCTAACAAACTGGCTCCAACAGCTTGCTGTCGGGGAGAATTTCACAGGTTCACAACTGTCTGAGTGAAGAAATTCTTTCTCATTTCAGTCCTGAGCAGCTTAACTCTTATTCTTAGACAGAGACCCCCTGTTCTGAACTTCTCCAACACTCTAAACCATAGTATAAATATGTGTTATGAAAATGCACTTTAATCAGTCATCAAACAAACATGTACTAGTGTTGTTTTTACTTTGAGAGTTATACCTGCCTCAAGCTGCTGAACTCAATAATAAGCTTGATTTTCCTATGATGGGGTTTTGAAAGGAACTGCACTACCGACAACTCAGCATGACCCTGCTCTGAATCCTTTGCATTTGCCTGAGTCAGGTTACTGCAGCACTATTTATGTTTTACAATTAGGAGCTTGACTCCTTGAAGGTTTTAGATTATACGTTACATGAAATGTAGAACAGATGTAATCTGAAAGCAGTATTGTTTTATTTGAAGTGTCCAGCTTTTATTCTGTACGCACAATGAAAAGATAGCTAGATTGATAGCTACTGTTTGTATTGCAAATATTATGTTTATCTAAAGGGTCACTTTAACATATGCTGGTGAAGATGTTTTCATTATGGTTTCAAATTGACCGATTTTATTTTTGCACCACAAATCCTGTTTGATTCAAAATTAATTAAGTTTATACTGTGTATCTTGTATGAACTCCAGTTAAAATCCCAGTCTCCATGTCCCCTTTGAGTGTTATCAAGAATAAGTTTCACTATAAGTTTGTTTCCTTTCTTTGCCCATTTTGTTGGTGAAATGTTGCTTTTGCTGTAATTGTGTTGAATATTTTACTTAATTGCATGTTAGTTTTGGCTGAATTAACACATTGACTTGTAAAAGGGTTGGATTCTGGTTTGGATTTTCAGCCTGTTTTGGAAGGAATGATCAATTCGGATGAAGAAACCGGATTAGTGAAGTATCAGCTGTCTCCCTCCTTCTGAAACCTTTAATCACTCATACCAGCTGGCAAAATCTCAGTGAAGAAGAAAACAAAAACAGAAACTGCTGGAAAATCTCAGCAGGTCTGGCACCATTTGTGGAGAGAAATCAGAGTTAACACTTTGGGTCCAGTGACCCTTCTACAAAACTGATGGTAACTAGGAAAATGTTGTTTTATTTCTTTATTCATTCACAGGACGAGAACATCACTGGCCGGGCAGCATTTATTGCCCATCCCTAATTGCCCAGAGGGCAGTTAAGAGTCAATCACATTGCTGTAGGTCCAGAGTCACATGTAGGCCAGACCAGGTATGGATGGTAGTTTCCTTTCCTAAAGGACATTAGTGAACCAGATGGGTTTTCCCCCCAACAATCAATTCATAGTCATTTAGACTCTTAATTCTAGAAATTGATTGAATTCAAATTCCACTATCTGCCATGGCGGGATTCAAAGCCTGGTCCATGGAATGTTATTTGGGCCTCTGGATTAACATTCCAGCGATAATACCACTAGGGCATTGCCTCCCTCTTTTATGTAGAAGGTAGGGTGTGGGGAGGGGAAAGGAGTAAACTATAGGTGGAGATAGAGCCCAAAGAGAGAGAAAAACTGATGGACAAACAAAGGAGTGGATAATGAGCAGCCTGGGAGAATGAATAGTTGCTTATGGGAACTGTTAATGGCTAACAAAGAGTAGAATATAATAGCAGAACTTCCAATTCCCCGGTCCACAACACCTCATCTTTACCATGGACATCCAGTCCCTATACACCTGCATTCCCCATACAGATGGCCTAAAGGCCCTCTGCTTCTTCCTGTCCCGCGGCCCGACCAGTCCCCCTCCACTGACACCCTCATCTGCTTAGCCGAACTCGTCCTCACCCTCAACAACTTCTCTTTCAATTCCTCCTACTTCCTACAGACAAAGGGGGTGGCCATGGGTACCCGCATGGGCCCAAGCTATGCATGCCTCTTTGTAGGTTATGTGGAACAATCCCTCTTCCATACCTACACTCGCCCTAAACCCGACCTCTTCCTCCGTTACATTGATGACTATATCGGCACCGCCTCGTGCTCCCACGAGGAGCTCGAACAGTTCATCCAGTTCACCAAAACCTTCCACCCCAACCTTAAGTTTACCTGGACCATCTCTAACACCTCTCTCTCCTTCCTGGACCTCTCTGTCTTCATCTCTGGCAACCACCTAGAAACTAATATCCATTTCAAACCCACCGGCTCCCACATTTATCTAGAATACACCTCCTCCCACCCACCTTCCTGCAAAAATGCCATCCCCTATTCCCAATTCCTTCCCCTCCACCGCATCTGCTCCCAGGATGAGGCATTCCACTGCTTAAAATCTCAGATGTCCTCGTTTTTCAAGGACCGCAACATTCCGCCCCCTCACCCCAGAGGTCGAGAACGCCCTCGACTGTGTCTCCCACATTTCCCACAACTCATTCCTCGCACCCCGTCCCCACAATAACAACCAAAACAGAATCCCCCTCGTCCTCACGAACCACCCCACCAACCTCTGGATCCAACGCATCATCCTCTGACACTTCCGCCATCTGCAATCTGACCCCACCACCAAAGACATCTTTCCCTCCCCACCCTTATCTGCTTTCCGGAGGGACCACTCTCTCCGTGACTCCCTTGTCCACTCCACACTCCCCTCCAGCCCCACGTCACCCGGCATTTTTCCCTGCAACCGCAGGAAGTGCTACACCTGCCCCTACATCTCCCCCCTCACCCCCATTCCAGGCCCCAAGAAGACTTTCCACATCAAGCAGATGTTCACCTGCACATCTGCTAATGTGGTATACTGCATCCGCTGTTCCCGTTGTGGCCTCCTGTACATCGGGGAAACCAAGCGGAGGCTTGGGGACTGCTTTGCAGAACACCTACGCTTGGTTCGCACTAAACAAATGCACCTCCCAGTCACGAACCATTTCAACTCCCCCTCCCATTCCGCAGACGACATGTCCATCCTGGGCCTCCTGCAGTGCCACAACGATGCTACCCAAAGGTTGCAGGAACAGCAACTCATATTCCGCTTGGGAACCCTGCAGCCCAATGGTATCAATGTGGACTTCACAAGCTTCAAAATCTCCCCTCCCGCTAACGCATCCCAAAGCCAGCCCAGCTCATCCCCGCCTCCCTAACCTGTCCTTCCTCCCACCTATCCCCTCCTCCCACCTCAAGCCCCACCCCATCTCCTACCTACTAACCTCATCCCGCCCCCATGACCTGTCCGTCCTCCCTGGACTGACCTATCTCCTCCCTACCTCCCCACCTACACTCACCTTTACTGGCTCCATTCCCGCCTCTTTGACCTGTCTGTCTCCTCTCCACCTATCTTCTCCTCTATCCATCTTCTATCTGCCTCCCCCTCTCTCCCTATTTATTTCAGAACCCCCTTCCCCTCCCCCATTTCTGAAGAAGGGTCTAGGCCCAAAACGTCAGCCTTCCTGCTCCTCTGATGCTGCTTGGCCTGCTGTGTTCATCCAGCTCTACACTTTGTTATCTCTGATAGCACGGTCTGGTGTGTGGGGTAGGGGTAAGGACATGGGAGAAGGTGCCCCAAGCCCCAAAAGTGTTTGACTCGATTTTGAGACCAGAAGGCTGTAGAGTTCCAAGCGGAAAATGGGGTGCAGTTCTTTCTGCTTGCGATGAGCTTCACTGGAGTATTGCAACAAGCCTGAGACAGAGATGTTGGCCAGGGATCAAGGTGGTCTATTGAAGTGGCAGGCAACTAGAAGCTCATGGCCGTTATTTATGAACGGAATGTAAGTGTTCTGCAAAACAATCACCCAGTCTACGCTTTGTTTCCCCAATGTAGAGGAGACCATATTGTGAGCAGTGAATACAGTAGACTAGATTGAGTGAAGTGCAGGTGAAATGCTGTTTGATGTGGAAGGTGTGTTTGTGCCCCTGAATCACAGAATTGTTGCAGTGCAAAAGGAGGCCATTTAGCCCATTGTGTCTGCACCAGCCTTACGAATGAGTTAATGACTTAATGACGTTCCCCAGCTTTTGACTCAAACCCTTATATATTGTTTCTATTCAAATTGTTATGATTCCAGCTGAAGTACTGGACAAGTACTGAAACACAAGCCCTTAATACTGCTGATTTCATTTTTACTATAAAATAGAAGAAATTCATTACACAATAGAAATGGAGGTAAAATAGAATATACCAAGCTATCCACATCGAAGACAAGTTTAAAAAATTTTAAACACATGATGAAATGTAATCCTATTAATCTCAACAGCATCCCTTTACAGTGCTCACACCAGAGAGATTTCCCTTTTCCAACACATCTATAAGGTTTAACTTGATGCTTCAATTTCATGTCTCAAGAATCTTATTGCCTAATTCTTAAGTTTTCATACGACTGAGCTTAGACTTTGTCAGCTTAAAATAACACTTTCAGGGTTTAAACCAAATACTTCTGATCTGGAACTTTCAAGTGAAACTCCTTACACTGAGGTAACATAAGAACATAAGAACATAAGAACTAGGAGCAGGAGTAGGCTGTCTGGCCCTTTGAGCCTGCTCTGCCATTCAATAAGATCATGGCTGATCTTTTCGTGGACTCAGATCCACTTACCTGCGTTCTCACCGTATCCCTTAATTCCTTTATTGTTCAAAAAAAATCTACCTTTTTTTAAAAAACATTTACTGAAGTAGCGTCAACTACTTCACTGGGCAAGGAATTCCA